CTTACTACTAGCTGTTGCTCGCGACTTCGCCCGCGTGAAATTATACAGCCTAAGTTATTAATGGTGAAAGACTTTAAAATCGGCCCAATACTTTTTGAGTTTCTCAATACTTATAAAAAACCAAAAAAAAAATATTTTCTCTTTATAATATTAGTATAGATATAGATTAATTTTAAAAATCAAATCAACTGGTTAAACCTATACCAAACCATGTATTTTTCTACCAAAGTCATGCTTGGGTTTACTTTTGGTTAGTTCACGGTATGTCTAAATACAGTCTAAACTGTACAAGCCAAGTGTGGACCAGGCATTAAGGTCATTCAGCAAATAGAAATAAAGATTATTAAATTACATTTTATACGTAACCTTTTTTTTAAATCTTATTTCAATGGTTTCTTAATTTTTTTTTTATAACAAGGTGGCAAACGAGCAAGCGGCCACCTGAATCCGCCAAAATGGCGAAGCGACCGCTGCCCATAGACATTCGCAACTGCAGATGCGTTGGCTACCCGTATACGACGGAGGAGGAGACGCACATAAAGAGGACATTTCCCCTTCCTATGCATCTCCTCCACCGTCAAATCCTCTTCCCCTTCCCATCCTCTTCTTATAAGAAAATGATGGTAAAGAGAAAGGGATTTAAATTAGGCCTCCGGCACCACACTCATCAGACGAAACACGGAATTGCTTCCATTTCACGCCTGTCTTCTGTGTGGTCGTGGTATTAGTGGGGGCGTGCCGGCCCTGCAGTGCTAAGATGTTAAAGCGGGCACTACCACTGTTAAATATAAGTTTATTAGAATGTTTGGTACTTACTTTTAGTTATAAGATGATTCTATAACTATGTCCAGTGGTGGTTTTCTTGTTGTATTTATACGAATAATTTTATCTGTAAATCCATTTAATCTCGAAAGTTAGATTACCACAGAATTGCCCTTTATTTGTTGTTTATTGCTTATTCATCTGTGTTTCGTCGGATAAGTCGGTGCTGTTGTGTTTATCTTTTTCTTTTTTGGATGGAAATCCACTTGTTTCCTCGTTAACACTTTATCTTCTTCAAAAAGGCTAAACATACAGCATCTTGTAATAAAGAAACTGACTGTTATCTATAGGAGACGCACAACTTTTGGGCACGAGTTTTTGATCGACTTCCCAAAGGAAGGAGGTACTCAATTCGTCTGTATGTTTTTTTTTTGTCAGTATGTAGTCGGTCATCAGTTTTTTTGGATTTCAGGAATTCCCGTAATGACATCAACTTATATCACTATTTAATTTTTTAGTTTTACAAAGATTTATTTTATTCGTTTCCAATAATACCTACGATTTTGGTGTATTCCTTGTTTCCGCCAAGCCCGGTGAATCTGTAAATGCCTTTTCAAGGCTAATAGTGGCTATTTAGTCACAAAAAATCCTTATATCCGAGTGAGTACAATTTGAACTGTGTTATAGAAATTATTTCTAATTATTAAAAATAATGATTCTCTGGAATAGAAATAAAAGAAGAGAGTGTCATTGTGATTGGAATTTTATTACTTCTTAAATGTATAACATTTAAATTATTTGTCAATAAAATTGTCGTGATATCTCAATAGACTTATTGGGGGGATTACCCCCCTCGTGGTGACATTACGTATTTTTTTATAACTCCTCCTCCCAAACTTAACCTTGAAAATTGCATTTTCATTTTCAGTAGCTAACGATTGTTATCTCTAATAAAAACCCAGTTGAATAAATAAGATCATAAATTATGTTTAATTGCCCTTCGAATCACCGCAAATTTAACAATATTTGGATGATAGCTTCATCCATTTTAATTTAATCGCTAACTTTATCTAATAGTATCTCTTCGATAAAAGTCATGGATTACCCGAGTCATAAATTAAAGATGGAAAAATTAGTGTTCGAAAAGTTTAGTACTTATTCAATGGATTTAGGACAGGATTTTTTTGTTGTAATATAATAGAGGTTAGAGGCTAAAGTCTTATGAATTGTTTTACTAGTAATTATCCAGAGTTATACGCGCATATGTTGGCTAATTTTATTCTCCAAAATTCTGTATCTCTTGTTATGATTTCTCCTTTTTCTCTTAGATTATAATTAAAACGTAATTACGACGATTATAACGAAAATAATTAAAACAATATTATGCTTGTAAATAAAATATGCACAACCAGTTTCAGTTATAGTTTACAGAAACTGGTTACTGATAAATATTCTATAATCTTAGAGGTTTATAGTGACATTTGACAGTTCAGTGACATTTCTGTCAGCTGAACGTCAGTTTGTCGGACCAAGACACATAACCTCTATTTTAAGACAAACTTTAACGAACAATATAGTGAGTGAAAAATATAAAAATGAGATTTAATACCGTACTATTTTCGGCACCATTTAATAATTCCGCCAGAGCACCGCAAAGAGAACCTGTTCCGTTTCAAATGCTATTACCACTCAAGCTTAAAAAAACTGTTTCTGGGAAAGGAGATAATCTGAGAGAAGCAGCTTGTATGCAAGAGATTTCATTAATGTTTGCATGCTTCAAGAAACACGAATTCGATCAGCAAGAATGCTTGAAAGAAATAACCGCTTTTCAAGGATGTTACCGCGACTTCAGTGAAAAACTAGCAACAAAAAGAGAGCAAGGGAAAAAAGGTATTTTAGTTCCTGGAGAAAAGAAGTTAACGCACAGACAAGTGAATCAGTTACTTAAAGCGTTTCCACCAAAATAGTATGTAATCAGTTTTTTTAGTTTTATTTTTAGTATAGTGTAAATAAATATTTATGAAAATGATCACTATCATTGATATCCTTTACAGAAGTATGATGGAAATATTCCATAGGTGTGGTAATAGGGGTAGTAAGCCGTAAAAATTGCCAACCTTTGCTACTGGAAATATATTACTTGTTTATATTGATACAGCTTTTAGAACATGAAGGGAGAAAATTATCACCCATTGATTTGGTATATTTGCAATTGGTTATGTACCACATATTGAGTGTACCAAAATTACTTTGATAAATATACAGTTATGATTGTCACTGTCCTTTAACCTCATATGAGTACTATTGTTATGATACTGGGAGAACATTTAATACTTTTGTTCTTAGAGACTAAAGTGAACTTTTCATAGTTAGGAAAAAATGCCAAAACGCCATACATACAAGCCTAAATATGACAGTCTATGGTTTAATTAGGTGTCATCTATCTATACATATAATAAAATTGGAGTGTCCGTAATATCAAAAGAGAAATTCAAGATTTCGGGAAGATCATGTATATGCATTGCTGATAGTGAAAATCGTCTATTTGTCTGTCTGTTTGTCCACAAGCCGCGTTTGTCCTGGGTAATTTCCGAAATGGCTGAACCGACTTTGACTGGACTTACAATAAAGGGTAGATGACATAAACAGGCATATTTTTTATTTTAATATTGTATTTTTCTTTAATACTACTTTTTTATTTTAATATTGGATGGACGAAGTCACATACAACAGCTAGTACATATATAAAATAATTACCAGATGGGTTTTTTTGGGATTCATATTCGTAATAAAACAATAGATAATAATAAAAGTATCTGTAATGTATTGTAATTACATTTAAAATATAAATTATATGTCAATGTTTTAGTAATGTAAATGTATAATTGTAAAATATATAATTATCACTTTGGGGCAGTGTGGATCCATTGTGGTGAGGACACTTGAAGCTCGATGCGGCGCACCGTTATCCATTCATCATCTATTTCGTGCACATTATAAAAACGTTCCAATTCCTCAATTGCTTTATCTTCAAGCTGAAAATGAAAAAGATTTATTGGTGTAACAATAAAATACAAGTTACTCAGATGTAGGAATTTCCTTTTAAGTAATCAATAGGTACTTGTGATAGGAAGTCTCGCTCTTCCGCGTAACACATTATGTTGAGGTATACATACACAATCTATCTATACTAATATAATCAAGCGTAAAAACACACTACTTTGTGGTGTAAGATGTCAGCATAGCATTATAAAGTAGTATATTTTTGCTTTATTATATTAGTATAGATTGCTGCTATTCACAAACAAAGCATAAGATTTATTATCATATAACTAAATCTTCAACTCAAAACACCAAAGGTAAAAAGTTATTTTTTTATACCTGTGTAAGTGCCAATGGCTTTGTCATGATTCTAGAAAAGTCATCTTTCTGCTTCTTTTGGTCAGCCAAAATCTGATTGAACTCAATCGCTTTGGATTTTGGGCTACTACTAGCGATTGGAGCTTCACAAATTTTCCAAGGATTTTTAGGTTTGTCTGGTGGACTTCCTATATTTATTTTATTAGATAAATAATTATCCAAGTTCTGTGGTGTTGATACTTCATTGCCTTGCATGGCTAATTTCTTTCTTTGCTTTTGAGAGAGTTTTGGTCCAATATGATTAACAACTAAGTTGCACTGTGGACTCCAATTCGATTCAGGGAATAATTCCTTAGGAGATTCAGACATACGAGAAGTACTGGGCCCATGAGTTTCTTTAGTCGGAGTCATGACAGTCGAAGAGTTACTCTTAGTCAGTTTAGTAAAAGACTCTGTCGGAGATTCATTGAGAATATCTTTAGCGGTTGTGATAGCTTTAAGTCTTGCTTGAATGACCTTTTGCTGTTTTTGTTGTGCAGACGGTACTTCTATCCATTTGTCCTTTTTCTCTATTTGCTTCTTCTCTTTCTCTTTTCCAATAGAACTTAATGACAGAGTCACATCTCCAGAGGTATCATATGATAGGTCCAGAGATGTAATGGAGCTTACTGACTCATATCTCATTCTGGCTTTCTCACTTTCCGTATATTCAATTTTCTTAGATTGTTTAGATTTTTTTTTATTGGCCTCTAGAATGCTGTCATCTTTCTTTAAATCCTCATCGATAACACTCATGTTGACGGGTGAATTTTTTGCTAACTCATTAACAATTTCATCGGTAGGACTGTTAAAGAATGGTGTTATGATTCTAGACAACATTATGGGATTGAAATTGCGATAATAATGTGATATATCTGCTACTAGAATATCGTCTAGTAAATCGAGGGAACGATTTTCTAGTATATTGCATATGTTAAGACCAATGAATTCCATACAACATTGTTTGAGTTGTGTGGCGTTGTATGTGTGTGCGAATTGGCAGAGTTCGGCGCAGTTTTTTAATGTAATTAAACTTGCTAATGTGACTTCACACATTTCTCTAATACGTGTTATTAACAGTTGGTCCGCTACTATAAGCATGCTGCATATAAAATCAATGCTGTCAGAATTTTCAATTTCGGGACAACGATCAGTGTAGAGGAAGTTAATAATTGGCAATAGAATGCTGTAGTTTATTGGTAGAGTAACTGTTGACATAGTTTCACTCTGTAAATAAAAAAAATTATCATTAGTATTAGATAATCAAAAAAGATTGATCAGTGAATAGTCAATACTAGTTTAAAAACTTATTCAAATATATAAAATCGTAAAATATAACGATATATTAATTTGTAAAGTATAAATTGACAACAGAAAAAGTGAGTTTGACGAATAATTAACAACACGTGATGCATATTATCGATTACAAGACTAACTGGATTTCGGACATAATCTACAGGGATTAGCCGCGGGCAAAAGATTTGCCGATTCCTCCCACCAACACTGATGGAGTCTTACGTCTGCTCAATGACGTCATGAGGTTATCGGTAAAGTTGGACACGATTAATAACACAAAATATTCATTATACAGGGTGTTCATTACCTCGGTCCAGGAATGCATGAACATTCCATTAAAGTAGTCAAGTCTTGCAGCTAGTACACATTTGTGTGCTGGCAGGAGCGTGCCATCTTTGCAGCATACATTTGTATCCACCAGCTGAGGGAAGGACTCGCGGTCGAACGCCGGACTGCTCTTAGTATGTGTTGCACTTTCCTTTACATGTATTATGCCATCCCTGTAACTAATAAGTGATAGCTTGCTTTAAAGCTGTTCACTTGGCCAGTAGCACTCACTGGACTGGCATGTGAACACTAGCCGGTATGTGAACACTAGCTGGCATGTGAACACATGCATAATCTCGGCTACTGTCCAACTGTAATAATAATGTGTGAACAAGTGGAAACAATTGTAGGTTTGGTTTGATGAGCGTTCGAGTCTTAATTTTAGTCCTCTCTTACATGGAAGGGATAGAAGGGTAAGTAGATTTAGCGGAGAATGGGATACCTATGTAAGGTAAATATCCACTTTCTGTCTCTTCTGTTGATTTAAGTAAGCAGATGTCTACGGGCCGTGATCGCTTCGCTATTTCGGCGAATTCAGGTGACTCGCTTATCTGTCACCTTACTATTAAACAAATTGTGATACACTTATTGGAGAAATAATTCAAAGATGTATGAAGTCAACCCGCAGAGTGCCAACGGGACTAGGAACAACTTAGGGTAGGCTCAGGTGATATATACTTACTAGTACTTATCCAGCAGTTTATGCAGTGCCATAACTTTGAGTCGCTTAGCGCTAGCTTGCAGCAACTTGACGGGGTCGCAGTGCGCGCTGCGCGGCGGCGTGTCTGCGCTGCGCCGGTGTTTATTGTTACGTTTATGCTGACCATTATATACTTCGAACGCAGATACTTCCTTTGGATTCTCTATATAAAATATAAATTACTCGGTTATGCCCGTGACTCTGTCCGCGTGGAATTAAAAAAGTATTTAGCCTATGTCTCCTTTCGGACTATGATCTATGCCAAATTTCATCCAGATTCGTTCAGCAGTTTAGGCTCTCTCTAACAAACATCCATCCATCCATTTAAACATTCACATTTATAATATAAGTATGATATACTTATAAAATATACATTATATACTGTCATAATTTTTTAAACATTGAATGTAAAACAGTATAAAACAGGAAAAATCTCAATGTCCGTATAATGCAGGCAAAAATATCAACATTTTTCAAAATAACATTGTAATAAAATATAATTTTGTGTCTACATGTACATTAGTAGTAGTAGTAGTAGTACCTTTTTAGTAATAGTCCACTAAATACATTTTTTTAAAGAATATTTAAATAAATTCTTACCAACAGCATCAATTTCTATATCCACTTCGTTTTTTTCCTTCTTAATAACCGCATTTAAGTCTTCCTTTCTTATCTTTAGACGACATGGTCCCAATTCGGTGACGTCACAACTTCCAGTATACATATAATGTAATATCCTTTCAAATACTTCAGGGTGAACATTATCTAAACACACTATAGGCTTATCATCTGCATTTGTGCGTGATTCTTCATACATTTTGTATAAATATTCACTACTGGATGCGACTATGAATATGTGCGCTGGGTACAATTTGTTATTAACCTAGTAAGAAAGATATTTTTAATTTAATTTGTCTATTTCTTACATTTTAGAGTTATTTTAATAGACTAAGCCTTTCTTAACTTTAATTTATGTTAATTTCTAGGTGAAAAAAATCAAGATTTACAATACTGTAAGAACTAAATAATTGAAATTTTCCTATTATGATTATTTTAAGTAAGTAATAGTATTATATTTATTTAAATTACATTTACCTTAAATATGACATCATGTAAAATATCATCTTCGGTAGCCAGATCCAATAAAGATTCCATATGTTTGGACATAAGTGACGGAGGAAGTTCTGGCAGAGATGTTAAACCACATGTTGGTTTTATCTAAAACAAAGAATCACATAAAAATACTAGCGGTTGTTCGCGACTTTGTCTGCGTGAAATTACAAAATAATAAAAAAGCTTATGTGTACTCAGCGATAACATAGCTTTTAATGGTTAAAGAATCTTTGGAACCAGTCCAATAATTTTTTAGTTATTTCAATACATACAAAAATCCAAAAATACAAATCTTTCTTCTTTATAATATTGGTATAGATAGAGATTGAAAACTAGGAGCTTACTTTTAATACCGTGTTATTAATAATGAGCAAGAAAGAGATGGGTATATATGGACAAACAAGAGAGAAAGAGATAGAGCATACTTACTTGCAAACAAGCGAAATTCAATCCTTCATTATCAACTGAAATAGACACTGCTCTGTGTATATTAGGTATTTTAGTTATCCTCACTGAAGTACAGTCGTCCTTTTCTAAGAACAATACTAATGAAGATTTATTGCTGTCCTTGTCTCTCTTAGCGGGTTGTATCGCTGGTCCTGTTTTTCTCGATATGTTACCGATATACGCTTCACCATACTTTGTTATGAAATACAACGCATCGTGCGTTAAAGCCACGTGGGATATTAAAATTTGATGATTCAGACCGAAAACACATCTGTAACATTTTTAATGTTTTATAATACATTTAAACAACAATAAAACTACGATTTTTTTTAGTAATGATAATAAAAATGCGTAAACTCAAATATTTGGTCCTTCGAGCCGGATCGATCAACAACACTTCTGATTATTTTATTGACAGTTATTTAGAACAACAAAATAAGACCTAATATTGTAGATAGCGACAAGCGCCAATAGCCTAATGGTTTGGAGTACGGACTACCGATCTTGCGGTCGAAGGTTCGAATCCCCACATTCGACTATTGTCGTGAACCATATCCTAGCACAAGCTTAAGGCTTAGTTGTATTGGTTAAAGGAAATATTAGTAAATTAACAAAAATCTACTATTTTTTACAAAAACAAAGATATAATTACTTTTCAAGAAATCTATTTAAACAGACTTGTAAAACAACAGTTACCTTGTAAGACGATTGTTTGTATCCTGCCAGATATGTAGTTGTCCGACATTGGTGAGCAACAACACTGTTACTCGCGAATAAATGTTTTGGTCGCTTACTTTGCTTTCTACACATACTTGACGCAAGTTTATTTGCCTATTAAAACATAAATATTACAAAGGTATACATTTTTGAGTAATAGAAATATAAATAAATGCATGCGTAAGTAATTGTGTTACAGATAGGGAAGTACAATAAAATATATATTTATATGATAAAAAGTTTACAAGGAAAATTGTACTTTTAGCCGCATGTGGAGGTATATTCTTTTAAATTTATATGCTTACTTAATAACAATTTTCTTGCACAAATACTTATGCAGGAGGTAAACATCGCCGCGGCTTGTAGTGAACACTGTAGCGGCATCCGAAGTAGCCACCAGTTGAATTTCCGTCTGATCTTTTGTGTTTATAGAAACGGCCACCTAAAGATAAGTATTTTTTAACAAAATCGAAAAACAAAAAATAACAGAACACTAAAGGCCTGTCCCACCAAATTGTAAATTGTTTGATAAATCAACGTGTAAAATATGTGATGGAAATGTCGGATTCTGTTCCCTTATCTGAAAGTGACGTAATTTTTAAGCTATCTGAGCCTTTATCAGCCACTGGTGGGACAGGCCTTAACCATATAAGACTTTTTCCCTATAATCTTACTCGTTTAGGTAATGGCACCACTTTGTCCTCTTGTGGATGCCCCAGTTGCCCCAGGTTGGTGCCCCACGTGTAGACCACGCGGGGGTTCCAAGCCACCGCGTGCAGTCGTCCCGCACACACTCCCAAAGGGTCGGCTAATTTTAACAGTGGTTTAGTTGAACCCAATTTTATAACTGTTGGCGTTTTTGCGGTGGATGAACTGATATTATCTGTCGAGTTTAGTCCGTATTGGACAACCTGGAATTTAAAAATTTTCATAGTTTAGACAGAAATGGACTTACTAACAAAATGTTACATTTTAATTAGTTGTAATTAATATTTAAGTTTGTATTTTGTTCCGGTACTAAATTCTGACAAGTAACTATTTCAAAATACGTTTATACCTTAGAAAGAAGTTACCGTTTATTAAAGGTAGTAGTATCTAAGGTTATTTAATTAATTAGTTCTTTTAAATTTCAAAACACGGTTTTCTTTTTTTTATGCATGGTGTGGCAATATCAAGTGTTCGTAGACTTACCGCCCCACTCTGCAGCAGGAAGACGGTCGAGGTGAGGGTAATAGCCGCAGCAAGGCAGGGCTCGGGCAGGCGCAGCTGGGCGGGGCGCAGCGCGGTGCTGGGCGGGCCGCCCGCGCGCGCCGTCTGCCCCGCGCACCACGCCTCCCCGCCCGCCGTCTGCCCCGACTCGCACACCCACACGCTATGGAACTTGCCTAAGCAAACCTACGGATACCACGAGTTGTGAGAATCATAATAGAATTTATATAATTATGCTATAGCTCTTCGTATAGGATTAATCCTAGGGAAATCTTATAGCAATGTCAACATATCTAGATTACTAGAATTTACGGCATTTCCTAATATTAAACGAAAATTAATATTTGGAATACTAATGCTAGGTTGTTGAAAGTTCCATTTATTTTATCATTACCTAGTGATTAGGTTGACGTTAGTTTTAACGAAGTAAAACTCAAATAAATTAGTTCGGAAACGCATGAAGTTATCAAAGTCATCAATGTTATCAAACCAAAAACGCTAACGAATGGTTATAGCTGGGAATCCGGCCGTAGATCGTCTAGTCATTCAAAAAGAAACTTATGTAATAGATTAGAATAAAGCAACTGAGTAGGCTTGCGGTAAACGAAGCATACGATACCGTGATGTGATACGAAAACGTATCAGTTTTCTAGTTTACATTTTATTGTATAGGTATACCTTTAGCATTTACGCTGCTTGTAATTTGCATTTATATCCGATACTATAATAAAAAAATTAACACCTTTCCTGATCAATCGGATACAAATCGAGGGGAGTTTTATACTGAAATTAAAAAGCATGAAATTTTATATTTCCTATTTATTGTAATTGATGATTTAAACGATAGGGCACGACTCCATCGCCTCTGTACGGATACGTATCAAACTTGTAGCTCTGAGCGGGATTGACCGCTGATATCACTCGCACCACCTTCTTCGGAGGTTCCTCCGCATACATTGTGTTGCGAGAACTCAATCGCTTCGGTACAACAACCTTCACCTCCTTATTCTCAGGCAAACTGCTGGTCGACTGCGCTTTTGGCGGAGTCGGCTTTATTGGTTGCCAGCTATTCGGATTTACTAATGGACCACCTTTTATTATACAAGAGGCAAACGAAATTATAAGGAAATAAGAAAGAAAAGAAGTTACAGCATAGAATATGAACGTTCCCTTGTTCTCTTTTATAGCTTCTCTCAATGCATCGAAACAGCCGTAAGTTTTAAAACTACCCACGGTAGACGAATTTAATTTCGTACAGTTAGGATCCAAGGGAATAAGTTTGGTCATATTTTTCAACACGCAACATTGTACCGGGTTTGAAAAGCCGGGATTTTTCTTCTGCCATTCAGAGTTATCAAAATCTTTATAATTATTAGCGCCACAGCATTCGTAATTCACCATAACATAGTCCCATAGGAATGACATTAAATCGTTTTCCCTTCCGTAGTAATTACGTATCGTTGATTGTAAATATCGTCTAGTAGGTAGGTTGTTCGAGTAAATATTATATGTACCGGTGACAAAGAACAACCAAAAGGCAGTACATGATATAACGGTTACCAGGAAAACATAACATTTGACAGCGCATTTCATTTTACATCCTGCGCCAAAGATTCCGCAACAGGAAGTGAACATTGTAATAGCGGAAAGAATTAGTACGATCGTCGACAACGGAGTGAACCATAGTTTTAAGTTCACGACGCTGGCGATTATTGGGATCATATGGCTTTTGGTTACAGTAAGATTAACTTCTTTAAACATTTCCGTGTTGAGAATACACCACACGCAGGCGACGCAAACAATGCTTGCCATTGAAAAGAAGGTGACATTTGTACAACTGAGGCAAGTACGAGGTAAACTAGTTGTATGCATTTTATTTAAAATTCTTCAACTACTAAAATAAACATATAAAAATTATACATTTTCGCCGTCATTTTGACATGTGATTGATTTGTTTGTCATTAGAAAAATATGATTTTGATAATCTATGATTTGTTATACCAATTCGGAAGAGTTTTAATAACTAGAAAAATATTGACAAAACACGGTTACAGTTTTTATGACTGGTAAACGAAGAAGCAGTCGCCGTAATTCGCCAAAATAGCGAAGTGAGGCTTATTATTTGTAGATGTATTGTTAAACTTTAATCAGTAAACACAAATAGCCTTCTGTTTAATATACGGATTTTCGTTCACGTGATCGAGGGTTCGAATCCCATTATCGACTATTGTCATAAACCATTCCTAGCACAAGCCTAGATGGAATGGCATAAGAAATATTGTTAAATCAACAAAAATATGCTAATCTATATAATAATGGGGAAAGATTTGTATTTTGTACGTATTAACTAACTCAAAAACTACTGAGCCAGTTTTAAAAAGTCTTTAGAAAGTTGATTTATCTGTAAGTACAATAAGCTATATTTTTTACTGTTTTAATTTCACGCGGATGAAGTTGCGAGCAACAGCTAGTATTTCATATAAAAAAGCAACTCAGTTACACTCAAGACGTACTTTGGCCCACCAGCACTGTAAATAAGTAATTAAATTACAATTACCTGTTTAACAGAGTTGTTAGTCCGGCTGAAAGATGTAAGTAGATCAGGTGCATTACGTTGCTGCTGGGTGCCCGTACCCAGGGTGTAGTTAGAGTTGGTACCCCACACATACACATCACTAGGCTGCTCACCAATATGTTTGTAAATGTAGTGACGGTCAAGCATCGCATGGTCTAATGCGGTGTAATCATCTTTGTCAACTATATCTGTGTTTACACCTGGAAATTGTTTATAATCAAATAATGCATATTTAAAATATAGGTTATTTTGTAAAAACATGTCCCCAACAACTATAGACAACGAGAGAAACCAATGCATAGTCAACCTCTGAAATTCTAGAAATCTATACCTACTTTTAGGTCTCTTTCACATGTCATTTTCTTAATAAAAAAATCCTTATGTTAATCAAATTACCTAGTTTTATCAGAGCAACAGCAGAATGTATCTGGCCATAGAAAATAGATCTATGCAACGGCGTATATCCAGATTCACGATCTCTTGCATTCACAAATGCTTCCATAGAGTGTCGCAATAACCATTCCATCAGCTGGTTTCTGCCACGAGAAGCTGTCATATGCAATGCTGTACGACCCTGTGAAGTTTACAACCAGTTAAAGATAATAATCTCAAACTACAGATAAAGTGCTCAGGCACTCTATTTAAGGTCATACCTTATTTTTTTGGTACATTAGCTTTCATATGAAAAAAATCGAATTAAAAAGGACTTTAGTAGTCAATGTATTCTTTCTGACTATTGTATTTATATCAAGCTAGCGTTCCCCTGCGACTCCGTTCGCGTGAAATTAAAAAAACTAAGAAGCCTATGTGTTGTTCCAGACTATTGTCTACATATACCAAATATACCAAAATAAACCAAATTCCATCTAAATCTCCTCAGCCGTGTAGGCTACAAACTCTAACAAACATCCATCCATCCTTCTAAACTTTCGCATTTATAATATTGATTTTTGCAGCTATTCTATAGTTACATGTTAGCAAACATCCATCCATCCTAAATAATAAGATTAATAAGAAAAGTATCAAACAAAATGAGAAAGTATTTTGTTGAATTATGTCAAGTATGGAAGGTCAATAGTGAATACACTACTTTCTGTGTATTATATAAATTGCATAACATTTTAAATGTTTCTGCAATATACATTCTTGGCATAATGTCAAATGTAATACTCAGTGCTGTTACTTCAAAATAATTAATTTTGTTTTCACTATCATTACTTATCTTACTAATATTACAAATGTTAAAGTTTAGATGGAAGGATGTTTGTTAGAATTTGTAGCTTAAACTGCGGAATGGATCTTGATGAAATTTAGCATAGATGTAGAGGATAGTCTGTAAAATCTCATGAGCAAGTGGCCTTTTTTATTTTTATGGATGGAGTTGTAGGCAAAAGTTAGTTTATAAATTTTTGATACAAAACAAAGACCGAATAAAGTATGGATGGATTCTGTGAAAAAGGATATGCTTAAGAAAGGAATGGATTCAGATATGACAGCTGATAGAGATGTATGGAAGAGCAGCACATACTGTGCTGACCCTCCGTTAGGGATAAGGGCAAGTGGATGTTGATACAAAACATTAAATCTTACCTCAAAATCAAAAGCCTTGGTGAAGTTAGCACAAGTTGCTTTAATAAAGCTTGCTAAGCATTCATCACTTACACATCTTTTGGTTATGGCACTTGTAAGTGACTGGCCACATCTTTTAGACCTACACCGTCTGGTGCAGTCTATATCTAAATTTATTTTACTCATTTTTTAATTAAATTTCCAGAAAAAACATTAAAAAAATATCATCCAATTAATTGGTCCACTAACTTTAATACTAAGACCTAGTATCATTTATTTATTCTATGTATATTGCCAGGTACTAGAAGATATGGAAAATATTTACATAGACTTAATACTACACTAGAGCGAGTGCTCTAATGTAGCTCCAAAAGGAGCTACAAATATCTTCTTAGAAGCACATAATGGTTGTGTAGACCCACTGAAAATAAAGAGACATATAAGATTTTGTTTGAATATTTGAGTAATTACACAAAAGCCAGTTTATATCTGATAAAGTATATAATTTCATAATACTTTTAATACTTCATTTGAAAATGTAAATCTTATCAGAATCGTTTTCCAATTATGACGTTTAACACGATAATTTTAGACCGGTGTTTTAACTTGGAGATGTAAGTCATTAGAATTACCATCAAAATTGTAAACACAAGATGATATTTTTAAATAAATTAATATAGTTATAATTAAATTTAAGCAAAAATAGTATTACCTTTAGACGTAAACAGATTTCCGTATAGTTCCGGCTACCGAGAATAGATTACAACTCATATTTCACGTTACACAACCGGTTGTTAGGCACATAAGATGTAGTCAAACGGTTATCACATAAAGCAACAAAGTAATTTGGATAAATTAGAAATTCCTAATATTATCCACCTCTAACTCTATCTTTGACCGCTGACAAATAATGACAAAATTCCAATTTATCATGTCAAAATTATTTTACAAAAAGACAAAAACGCTACAACAACAACAGATTAAAAAAATGCAATTTTGTTTGAAATAACTATTGTTGTTGGATTTTCAAGCACCGTTATTTTATTAATGAAGTCAGCTGGTTAAGATTTAAAGTAATATAGAATATAGAATTAACTTCTAATGAAAAAAAAAATAAACTGGATGTGTGCAATCCATATGTTCTAAATGTCAAAATAGCGCTTATTGACAGATGACAGATGGCTTGAATGAAAATTCTATATTGTGTAATCGAAAAGCAAAAAGTTAAACTGAATTCGGGAATATATTATCCCAAAATTTAACAATGTTTAAGGTTTTGAGTCATACGACACGATTGTCTCGACAAGCTATATCGGGGTAATTTTTATGTTTAAAAAATCATTATGCTTATTAGTACTACTGTACTATAAATCTTATTTTTATTTCTAGACCATCGTATTTGATATCTAATACAAGACTTTCTTCAACCAATGATCCAGCAGCTCGCAAGGAAGCGCCAAAAATCGATAACGAAACAGTTTTAGCTTTGCCACAGGAAGCAAAAGAGAAAAGTGCTCTTGAGTCAACAATATCTGTCCCTAAGAAGGTAAGTATTCTCAGTTTAATCACAGATGAGTTAGCGAACTAAAAGAGTTAATTAGTTATGATAACAACTCTGTACTGACTAATTCTTGCAATAGTAGTTTTAACAATTTTTTTCATTCCCAATAAAATTTCAGGTTGACATTACTCCAATTTCCGGTGTCCCAGAGGAGCATATTAAAACTCGTAGAGTCCGTATTTACCAGCCACCCAAAAATGCTATGCAGAGTGGGACTAACAATACCCATCACTGGGAAATGGAATTTGACAATCGCCAACGTTGGGAGAACCCATTGATGGGTTGGACTTCCACTGGAGACCCACTATCCAACATGAAGGTTCAGTTTTCATCCCCTGAAGATGCTATTGAACATTGTGAAAAGAATGGTTGGTTCTGGTATTTGGATACTCCGAAATTAGAAAAAGAGTTCAAGCCCAAGAGCTATGGGATTAACTTTTCATGGAATCGCCGTACTAGGGTATCAACAAAGTAATGTTTTTCATTTTTAGAACTATGTAGAAATACAGAATAATGTGTTAATTTGACAGTGTATTTCTTTAATTCCCTTTAATCCTTAACTTTTATGTTACTAAAGTAAATTTAATGTGGTGTTAACTTATTTTTCTAAGATAGACTGCTACAGAGAGATTTAAGGTTTTTTCAGATTGTGTTTTTGAATTATCTCTATAAGAACAAACTTTTTCTTTATTTAACTTATTTTGTGAGACATTTCTGTGCTTTAATTTATATGTTCAAAAAATTGCATGTTTTGGTGTTGGATTGTAAGACGTACATAAGCGACATCTAGCAGACAATAAGCTTTGACATATGCAATACATACAACTGTTTGAAACCAGTGTCAAGAGATGGCGCTTTTACTTCTTTGTTAACACTCATAATTTTTTTTTATTTACAACTTGTTTTAGGTTAACGTTTTGTCAATGAAAACTCAATCTAAAAGGTCAGTTAAAAACATGTCATACCAAATCATTTATTTTTTAACCTCTAATCCTCTGGATTTGGGACGGGCGAAAATATCTCTCCCTTACAAACGAATTTTATTAATTAACAGTTAATTTTAAAATCAAATACATAAAAGTAATCTATTAACGCAAAGTAACTGCAATTGCAGATGAAGGGTAGCACATGCTTCGCTGTTTTGGCGAAACCAGGTGGCCGCTTACTCTTCTCCCACCTTATAATAGGAAATTGCACTTATCCAATACATCTTAAATGAACTTTGAAGTACCAGGATATCATAATTCAATTATGTACTTATAATAGCGGACAGCAGTGCCGTGTTCCAACTTAATTAATTTTGCAAAGTGGAAGTTGAATGGCGGGCATAATCCTATAACATACGTTGAATACTTTAATTATTAACATGTACAAACTTAGAACATTAATTATACTACGAAATTTAATATCCTATGAGATGAGTGAAATTTTGTTAATACGAGTATGTGATTTAAAATCAAAACTATGCATCTCAGTTAAGTTCAGATTTTAGGAATTTTGAAGCTATCGAATAAGGTTACTATTTTATTTACAATGATCGTTTTAACAATTATTATGAAGGTTTTATTACAAGCGTCATCAAGGACAAAAGAGAGGGGACAGTATATTTAACGGAAGCTTCCCTAGACCTAACCTTTTTTTTGGCCAAGGGGAATACATCTTACGCATACTCCGCGCCCAGGGGGACGCAGTATAGCTACTGGTGGGACTCTCCCACCATAATGGGGGGATACCTACTAAACCCCTCGGTTCCTCCAACGTCTTAGACCTGACCTAGACTATCAAGTGACGACGCCCATAGGTTCTATGTACCTGTACATAGTATTATTTGTTATACGTATATGTTACAAAAGCGACCATTATGTTTAAAACATAACCAGTGCTGTTAAATGTAATCGCGTGTATTACTTTTCAATTATTTGCAATTTACGGTTTCCTTTTAGTGCAAGATACTAGAAACTTAGATATGAATTATCTAATTGTGCGTTTAAGTTTAAGTAATTCGAATGTGCAGTCACAATGCGCCCGCATTGTCTCTTCATTACAGAGAGCTAACGACGCCATCGCGTGTGTTTGTATGCGGATAAATTATGCGCTGATGAATCACCGACTACCCACATGCAAACTTTCATTTCAATTTCGTTACGTACATAGTGCCTTGTTATCTAAACATTATTAAAGCTTTTTATTACAATACTAGCTGATTCTTGCGATTTTGTCCGTCGTTTAAAAAATAGTATAAAACATAGCCTATGTTACTTATAACGCAGCTTCCTAATGGTGGAAGATGTTTTAAATAATCCCCGTAGTTTTTGCGTTATTTAAATAGGTACAAAAATACAAATTACAAATCTTTCCTTTGTATAATACGAGCTGTTGCCCGCGACTTCGTCGTATTAGAAAACATACGAACTATATAAATAACAAACAGCTACGTATCCCTCGGGAACCGGACACCTCGGGGATGAAGCTTATCCCATGTATACTCCAGACTTTGTTTACATCTGTGTCAAATTTCAATAAGATATGTTGAACCGTTGCACAATGATCGAGTAAACATTAAAAAACTAAATTGATGAATCCCACGGGAACCGTAACTTATCCCGGGATAAAAAGTAGCCTATGTATTCTTCCAGACTATGCTCTAAACCTGTGCCAAATTTCATGGAGATCCGCTCAGCCGTTTAGGCTACACACGCTAACAAACTTCCATCCATCCATCCATCCATCTAAAGTAAGTAAGTAAGTATAGGTGTAGATTGAAAAATATATATTAAGTACAACAAAATATTAAAACACAGTTTAAAGAACAACTTAGTACTTCGCAGACTACAGACTTTTTATCCGTTGATTTATTGAGTTGGGATATTAAAGTTACATAAAACAAAATACGTGTAATGTATGCCTATACACGCTGTACCTATACAAATATACGACTTAACAGTCGAGCGATTAAAAGTCTGTAGTGTGCGGGGCACTTAATTTTTAGAAACACGTATAACAACAAAGGTAATGTGAGAAGTTTGATGTTCGCTATCATTTCGGAATTACCCAATTTTAGAAAAGTAAGACACAATTTAACATTAAGTAAGTTAACAGTAAAAAATCATCACATTTTAAATATATATTGATTAATTAACAGTTTTCAATTGTTCTGTGAATATTTTTCTGAGCCATTTAATTTATTCTGTAAATAATAATAATAAGATATATGGAATAATAATAATAAAACTTTCTTTCGAGAAGATCTCATATTTTGTTAGTAAAAAATCTTATTGACTAGTGTTAGTAAAATAGTAATTAAGAAACAATTTATAAATATGTAAAAATTTGAATTTTGCAGCTTTATTCTTAATGACTCTCCGCACTGTCTATTTTACGGTCTTAAAGGTTACAATGCATATTTAATGTGAGAGCTTTAGTTTTACGAGTGGCCCTGTACAACTTGGCTGAGTGCTTATGTTGTAAAGCCTTTGAAATTTTATTCAGTTTCGTTACTGTTTTGCAATATTTTTAGAAAAAAAATCTATGCAGATTTCAAAATGTTTGATACATCTAAGCTTGTATATTATTGAAATTAGTTATATATTGTGTCATTCCACTAAAATATAATACATAAACCAAATTAGTAAATCACATATACCATTAAACCAGAAACTTAAAAAAAGCTCTAAGGAGCTTCTCTACCGCCTTAAGAGGCGGTAGAGAAATTATATTGAAGGCGTGGGCGACGTAAATGAATCAACGAAATGATTACGAAATCATTTTTCGTTTATAAAATTCCCAGTAATTGATGAAAGTTTACGTATACATTAAACAATTAATCACACAAAAATAAAAAAAAAAACTGCCGAGTCTCGCTTTCCCTACAAAAGTGTGTTAGGTGTCATGTTTGACATAGTAATTTCAGTTAGTGTCTATTATGAAACCTTGGTAATTAAACGACGCCATCATTTTGAAAGACTAAATCTTGCTATTGGTCCCAATTCTATCTAAGAAAAGCTCTCGAGAATTACGTATTTTAGTTTGAAAATAATGGCGGCGAGTAATTGCCATGGCTTCATAAGAGACAATAAAATCACAGCGTAGCATTTAATTACTGTTGGAAAATTCTGGATGTAATTCACCATATTAGGTTTTGGTTAACTCACGTAGAACATGCGTATTCGTAGATGCCACGTAGCTGTAGTTTAGGCGTAGCAAACACGTAGCCGTAGATGTTAACATAGACAAAGTTAAAAGCTTAAGTTTCAGATTTCTCTATAAACGTATTTTTCGTGTTTTTTTGTTATATCATTACGTAGATAACCGTTGTTTTAAAAGTTAGTGTCTTCAAAAAAATTGTGTTAACTTCACAAGCACTT